ACCTTACACTTGAAAAAAGTCGAGCATCCTAATTGTTGGGACTTTATTTTGTAGAACAGAATAGAGGTCAGAAGTCAAAGGTTAAACACCTTCCCTACACACAACTGGAGTTGATGGCAGATGTGGCACTAAGATGTAATTGCTTCAATGGCCATATTCAAGTTTATTCTGCCATCTCAAGTAATTAATAAGGACTTTTTCCTTTTACATTCTAATCAAAGTATAATCACATTTTAAAAAGTGCACAGAACATAACTGTTCTTTAATAAACTTCCAGTAGACCTGCATTCCTGTATTTAATACCTTAGTTAAAACCCAGACTAAAGCTGGGCCGTGGTGGTGCACGCCTTTAATCCCAGCACTCAGGAGGCAGAGGCAGGCGGATCTTTGTGAGTTCGAGGCCAGCCTGTTCTACAGAACGAGATCCAGGAAAGGCGCAAATTACACAGAGAAATCCTATCTCGAAAAACCAAAAAAAAAAAAAAAAAAAGTGACCAACCAAACAAATGGACAAAACAGCTTGATTTCTACCCTCTAGAGATCTGTTGAGTATCTTTTCTTCAAGTCACCACACTGGGCACGGCACTCTGATTTATATTCCTTTCCATTTATTTTGAGGCTATACTTTTGTATTTTTCCAGTGTTGGAGATTGAAACCAGTAACTTGTACATGTTAACAAGTGCTGAGTTCTACCCTCTGACATTGAATTAAAAGTTTACTTACAGCTGAAGTACCTCTGACTAACTCCCCCTCTCTTTTGGGCTACAGAACCACTAAAAAGTGGTTTCAGATCTACTTGGACAGCTTTACAGGGAAACAGCTGCCCAATTATGATTACAGACACAATTAGTTTTAGTTTCAGTTTTTGATTTTGTTTTGTTTTTTTGAGACAGAGTTTCTCTGTGTAATCCTCAATGTTCTGGAACTAGGCTGGCCTTCAACTCAGAGATCTGGCTTTCAGTTTTAATCTGTTGGGATTAAAGGCTTGTGCCACTACTGCCCAGTTTTTTTGTTTTTACAATTAAAGAGATTCACATGTATAGGAAGTCAAGGCCAACTATGATTCCTCAAAATGAGGTATAAAATAAACTCTTCCGCCGGCCGGTGGTGGCGCACGCCTTTAATCCCAGCACTCGGGAGGCAGAGCCAGGCGGATCTCTGTGAGTTCGAGGCCAGCCTGGTCTCCAAAGCGAGTTCCAGGAAAGGCGCAAAGCTACACACAGAAACCCTGTCTCGAAAAACCAAAAAAAAAAACAAAAAAAAAAAACCTCTTCCATTCAGAAAACAACACTTTCTCCAAGGTATCTGCCTCCCTGGATCTGAGATCAGGCACTTTCAGGATGGTGTGGCTGTAGATGAGGAATCCCAGGCCTTTCTGATCTAGCCATTCCCAGCTAACCAGCTTAGTTCCTATGGGAAGATTTGCTTGGACCCATGAGGGGGAACACACACACACACACTTTTGTTTTTGTCTGAGGCCAGTTCCCACTGCACTGACCTTTGTGCAGCTGTGGGGCTCCCAACACCTCTGGCTTTCTCACCAACACACAAGGCAAGCGGTAACTGAAAACTAGCCAAAAGAGAGCGGTGTTTAGAAACTGGAAACTCTAGCTTTGGAACATTGTCTTAAGGCCAAAAATGTCAAGGTCTGGGTGGAGAGAGCTTTCCAGCCGCCACAGACACAAGCAAATCAAACAGGGCCTGCACTTTTCCAGCAGCGCACTGGCCGCCAGGGCAGGCCGTCTTCTCCACAGCAGCTTCATTTCCTCAGACAGTGAGCTCATGCTCAGCACTGGTGCGTTCGATAAAACACAGCATTTAACCCCATCCTGGAGCAGAACTGTGTGAACATGTACACTGCATGTCTGAATCAAACTAATCAAACTAAAAACCCCAAGGAAAAGAACCCTTGCACACACACAGTCATAACCTTAGACCCTACTTCGGAATGCAGGATGAAGAAGCAGTAATGGTGAGTGAGAGTGAAATCGTCCCTCCAAAGCCAAATTTGGATGACGTTTTTCACTGAAGACACAATTTTGCAGGATTATGGGTAGAGCTTCTTAAGGTATGCTATGAATCCATTTTCTATGCAGCATCACTCCTGAGGTGTTTAAAAATACAAAATCCTCTCCATCAATTAAAAAAAGAATACTGGGGTGGGGTGGGAGAGCGCTTGTACAGCAGTGTAAGGCCCCAGGTTTCCTCTGCCTTTCCTAGTTTCTCTGATTAGGGCAAACTGTCCTGCTGGTTGGCCTGTGCCCCGTGTTGGTCTATGAAGCTCAGTGAGGTTGGTAGGTGGGTGGCAGGGACATGCATGGATGTGGAGGCAGTGTGACTCATATCCTGATGTCACCAGAGAAAGCAGGCTGGCTGCAGCCAGAGTCTGGAGAACCATAAGAGGGACACAAGTCAGGTGATGCTCTGAAGCCACTTGGTTCTAGAGGTGTTCATGGGATAGGTGCAAGGCTCAGACCTGAGGATGTTGCTGGTGGTAGGGGACAGAGAAGGAGAGGATAACTACATGGAGAGCACAGCCGGGACTTTAGGAAGGTAAGGAGTTCAAGGGCAGCCTAGGTTTCGAGACACAATCTGGAAGCGGGCGAGCCCCTGCCAGCACTAGAAATGTCCGTACAATCCTAAACTTGGGTTTTAAGCGCATCAAAATAAAGTAGGTTGTTGGATGTTTAAGTACCACCCTGAGCGCTTGAGAAAACAGGTGCAAGTCAAGATAAAGCTGCCTTTAGTGTCTAGCCTTTGGGGCTTTCTACCCATATTCCAGAGTCTATGGTTTTCAGTTTATTTACTTTTTTTTTTTTTTTTTTTGGTGTGAGCAAATTTGACAGATTTTAACTTTAGGAATAAAACTATTATTCCTTCACATTTTCATTCAAGTCTTTATTATTTAAAAATCTCATACAAGAGCTAGACAGAGGAGACATACACCTTTAACCCCAGCATTTGGAAGGCAGAGGGAGGCAGATCTCTGAGTTCGAGGTCAGCCTGGTTTACATAGTAAATTCCAGAACAGCCAGGGCTACATAGAAAAACCTTGTCTCAAAAAACAACAAACAACCCCCGCCCCCAACAAAAACAAAAAGCTATAAAAAGTAGTGACCTTGCCCGGTGGTGGTGGTGAACGCCTTTAATCCCAGCACTTGGGAGGCAGAGTCAGGCGGATCTCTGTGAGTTCCAGGCTAGCCTGGTCTACAGAGTGAGATCCAGGACAGGTACCAAAACAACACAGAGAAACCCTGTCTCAAAGAAAAAAAAGTAGTGACCTCGAGTAACAAAGGGGAGAACTTCTGTTTTCAGCCAGTTCAAGGTGGGAATAAACTGTGAGCTGTCTCTTCAGTAACAGTTAAACAGGGTTAGTTGCTAGGTCTATAGGAATTTAAGGCATTTTGGAACTAAGTTAAAAGAAAACGACCCTCAGCTGATAAAGGTGCTTACCACCACACATACACTGTGACATGTGTGGGCGCCCATCAGTAAATTAAAAACAAAATAGGCACCCATCTCATATTTGAGTTTGGATGCAGGTTGGATACTAGGGCTTTGGCTGTTTCCTCCTTTGCTGCCTCCTGAGGTTCCCCTTTGGAGTGTGTGTGTGTGTGTGTGGGGGGGGGGGGGTCTGGGGTGGGGAGGGGAGAAGGACATGATCTGAAGGTGAATCAGGATGGCTGCCAGCAGCATTTAGTTGAAAAAAAAATTAAACCTTTTTGTTTGTCTTTTTAAAAAAGATTACATATACAGTCTGTATACCAGAAGAGGGTACCAGATCTCATTACAAATTTTATACTGTATAGCTGCACATAGGATTAAACAGAGACGAGGGGCATGTGAGCTGGGGTGCAGCTTGAGGAATCCAGCATTGACCTTGACAGTAGGCACCAGTCATATCTTAATGGAAGGATCACAAGTTCCTCTTGTTAGAGATAAGAAGAATGACTGCTTTAGCAAGCAGGAACTTTCCTCAAGCCCTCAAGGGAATGGAGACCCTTGTCCATATGCCTGACCTTGGGAAAAGGGTTTCTTCTGGGAAGAGACATACTACAGTTTCTTAGTCTTACTATATGGGCCCATTCCCCTCATACGCTCCCAAAAGGGAGGGTTCTGATGTCTTACTCTTTTCCCATTATACTGTACCATTCTGACATCTCTGTATTCACTAACTGAACTCTTAATGTTAGGGAATGTTAGCATTCAGACCCGCCCCTTGGGCATCCACACCAGCGTCCTGACCACGTCATCTTAAGTAAAGTCCTCTCTTCCTTTCTTCCCTTCTCCCTCCCCCCCAATAAAACTTTCCACATGGGTGCATGGTGTGAGTGACTTTCTGCCATGTCCTCTTGGCCGCCACCCACCGTATCTGCATGGTACGTCTCTCTCACCTGCTGTAGGGCACCTTGGCTCTATGGGCCAACGCCGCTGCAGAGCCATTTTAAAAATACAACAATTGAAAAAAAAAAAGGGTGGTGGTGGTGGTGCTGGAGAGATGGCTCAGCAGTTAAGAGTACTGACTGTTCTTCCAGAGGTCCTGAGTTCAATTCCCAGCAACCATATGGTGGCTCACAACCACCTGTAATGAAATCTGGCGCCCTCTTCTGGCCTGCAGGCAAACATGCAGGCAGAACACTGTACACATAATAAATATTTAAAAAAAAAAATACAATTGCCCTTAATGGCCTCAGGCTCTGGATCTGAATTGTAGGCATTTCATTCTTGGGATCAGGTGTGTCTAGTAAATGTCTAACTTTCCGGTTCTTGGTGTAATTAGGAGGGCACAATGGAAACCTGGTTCCACCGTGGTGGGGATTTTTTTCCAAAGAAAATTTTTTTCCAAAATGTTGTTTAGAGAGGCTACCATTGTACACATTTTTATCCTTTACCAAAGCCCGAACAAACGTTCCCAAAGGGAATCATTAAACATGAAAAGAAAAAGATGCTGGAGAAGTGTGGTCTGCAATGTTCAAATAATGGAACTTTGTCAAGCAGCAACGGTCCATGCCAGCTACCTTTATCCTCAGCTGGCTGTCTCTGTGTGGTAGGAAAAGATGGTGACCACTGGCAGTTACAAGATTATAGTGGCCCTCACGACACCGATCAGAGGAGAATACTGGAAGCAATTATAGTGTTACACTTGGAGGCAGAGGCAGGAAGATCAGAGTTCAAGGTCATCCTTGGCTGCATAGTAAGTTGAAGGCCAGCCTGGGCTAAGGAGGGGATCCTGTCTCAAGAAGAAAAGGTAGGAAGAAGAGGAAGGAGAGGGAGAGAGGGAGGGAAAGAGAGAATGATATATTTTGGGTTAGTTATGATGGTGGCTCATGCCTATCATCTTGGCACTTGGAAGGCTGATGCAGGGCTGAAAGTCAAGGATAGTGCAGCTACAAAGTAAGACTCTGTCTTAAAACAAACAGCCGGGCGGTGGTGGCGCACGCCTTTAATCCCAGCACTCGGGAGGCAGAGCCAGGCGGATCTCTGTGAGTTCGAGGCCAGCCTGGGCTACCAAGTGAGTTCCAGGAAAGGCGCAAAGCTACACAGAGAAACCCTGTCTCGAAAAACCAAAAAAAAACAAACGAACCTTTCTTGATAGGTCTGAGAACAGAGCTTTCCAAGGCTAGTCCTGTGCTGAGCCTGAGAGTAAAGTTAACTTCAACTACAGCTGATTGCTGAGGACTGAGAAATGATGGTTCCCAAAGGAAGGCTGGGAATATGAAATACATGTTCACTACTCCAGGAGAAGCTGCAAAGTTTCCAGACATTCTAATATCATTTCAGCCCAATAAACATTTGCCGAATCAGTGTAGGACAACATAAGCCAGGGCTGCTGCAGATCACTTTAAAAAGCGTCATGTTCCGAACTCTGATGTTGTAGTATAGAGCACCAATGAAGCGCCAGTCAGTATGGAGAGGCCACTTTAGCAAGGAGCTCCTCCAATCAAGTGCAGATTGATGAGGTCCAGGTTCCATCGACAGGACACCGAGGAGGTGCAGCACCGAAAGACGGCGCTTCTTTCTTCTCTGATTGAACCACCAGGAAAGCAGAGGTGTGCTCAGCATGAAGGGAGACGCAGGTCAATATGAAGGGTCCTGATATGAGCAAGAGTTCACTTAAACTGGTGGTAGTCAGGTGGGTTTCTGATCCAGGATGCAAACGGCTGTTTCCTTCGGAGTGCGCGCCAGGCTTCCTGGTAGGCGGACGCAGCCTCCTTGTACTCCTGGTAGGTGGCCAGCTTCTGCACCCTAATGCACACATGTCATCAACACAGTTCGCACTGGAGCAACTGGATTCAACAGATTCAAACAGCACAGCAAGAGCAGAGAGAGCACTTTGCTCCCTCTACAGGGAATTCAGGTTAAAGCAATACATGCTAAGGCAGGTTAGAATCACAGAACACTAGTACGTATGGCTCTTGTCCAATTAGGTAAAATTTTCTTTTCTTTGTGGTGCTGGGGATCATACAAGGTTTCATGTATGCTTAGACAGTCTCCTCCTATCACTCACTGAGCTGTCTACCCCAGCCCCGACTTAAAGTTTCCTCCAGAGGATCTAGAGATTAAGAACCTTCTTAGCTCTGTTTCTTATAAGAATATTATGGAACATCTACAGCCTTTAGCCTCTCTGACTGCTGAAAAACGTCTGACACTCTGAACAGTTGTAATTTGTTGTAGAATATTCGTTAAAGATGGGTTACATTTGTTTATGCTGTGGAATATTTGTTTAATGATGCAAAGATGTGTTGTATTCTTTTATGTTGCATTTGTTTAACTCTGTGAAGCTGTGTTACTTTACCTCTCTAATACACCTGATGGTCTAAAAAAAGAGCTGAATGGCCAATAGCAAGGCAGGAGAAAGGATAGGCGGGGCTGTTAGGTAGAGAGAATAAATAGAAGGAGAAAAAGAGGAGATTGAGGGTTCTTGCAGTAAATACTGATTTAAGTTTTATTTTAATCCAATTTTTTTTTTTTTTGTTAAGAGTGGGACCCATGAACTTGATAATTTCAAGCTGTATTTAAGTTCTGTGCTCCTGGAAAACAGGTGTAGCTTCCTAACAGAGGCCCTGGGTCCCATTCCCAGCATCATAAAGTCAGCCAATCAGTCAAATGATAAAATGGAAAAAAAAAAATCAGGCCTGTAATCCTAGCATTTGGGAGGTTGAAGCAGGAGAATTGCTGTGGGTTTGAGCTTAAGCTGTCCTGTACAGTGAGTTTCAGTTTCAGGCCAACCTGGGCAGTGAGATCCTATCTGAGAATAAGTAAATCAATGTGTGAGTAAGGAAACCTAAAGCAGAACCTTCCTCTTCCCTTCTGTGTTTACTGCAAGCAGTCTCTCCTCTATAACTCAGGTAAGACATTGACACAAACCTACAAGCTCCCCTTCTCTGGGAAGTAGTAAGCGCCCACAGGCTTGCTGAGTGGATGAGTCACCTGCCAGATGTCTCACCATGCACAAGCCAGAACCAGAGCAGAAGTCTTTACAGACAGGAGGACAGAGGGATGGACAGTGTCACCTGACAGAGTCCGGCTGCTTGTCTTCTGCAATGCTGCTCAGCAGCTTCTGGAATGATCTAAAGAGTTCCACCTTGCTGATTCGGGATCTGTTCAGAAAAGGAAAGTAAACATCACTGACTAATAACTAGGTGCCAGGTCACTATCAGAGACACTAGGCCTCATCACAGTGCTCAGGAGTGGATGTGCCAGATCCCCCATCCGACCTGAAATGTCTCATCAGCCCCTCCCCTCCTTCTTCCTCTTCCCCCCTGCCTCCTCCCCTGACAAAACGTCTTGATATGTTGCCCAGACTGGTCTTGAATCATGAGCCTCCTGCCTCAGTTTCTCAAGTGTTAAGATTATAGCACGGGTCACCACACCCTGGCTCTCTAGAGATCTGTGTTGTGACTGCTGGCAAGTGACACTGACCTGTTAGCCACATGACTGAGCATTTTCAGAATTAAATCCTCTCACCCCATTCAAGCTTTCAGAGGACTGCAAACCCACATGACATAATTATTGACCTCTCAAATCCCAAGGTACAATCGCCTATTAAATTCATTTTTTTATTCCAAGTCAGCAGAAACTCTGAAGAATAAGGTCTATTGTTATCTAATGAAGCTTTTTTTGTAGATAATTTGTTAAACATCAACAGATAACTAACATACTTTCATAGAATAAATCTAATGGGGGTATGAAAGATATATATAAGGAAATTATAAAAATTAAAATTATTTGGGGGCTGGAGAGATGGCTCAGCAGTTAGGAGCACTGACTGCTCTTCCAGAGGTCCCCAGTTCAATTCCCAGCAACCACATGGTGGCTCACAACCATCTGTAATGAGATCTGGTGCCCTTTTCCGGCGTGACATGCACACAGAACACTGTATACATAATAAATGAATAAATAAAATATAAATCTTTAAAAAAAACTAAAATTTAAAATAATAAAATGAAATTATGAAAGCTTATTGAGGGCTGGCTGGGGCTATTGCTCAGGGTTAGAACATTTACCTTGTACATGTATTAGGCTCTAGGTTCAATCTTCAGTACTGCTAGGAAATCCAAAAAAAACTGGGGCTAGGCAGATGGCTCAGCGGTTGGGAGCACTTGCTGCTCTTGCAGAGAACCTGAGTTTGGTTCCCAGCATCCATATTAGGTGGCTCACAACTGTCTTGTTACTCCAGATCCAGGGGATCTGCCACCCTCTTCTGGCCTCTGTAGGTACCTGCACTCATGTGCACATACTCACAAACACGCATAAACATAAATAAATAATGAAACATAAAAAATAAACCTTAGACGGAAAAGATGGCTAAGTGGTCAAGAGTATGTGCTACTCTTCCTGAGGACCTGGTTTCAGTTCCCAGCACCCATAGAATGGCTCACAACTGTAACTCCAGTTTCAGGGGATACAATGCTCTCTTCGGGCCTCTGTGGGCACTGCACGTATGTGGTACACATACATTCAAGCAAAATACTCATAAAATAAAACAGATATAAAATAAAAATAGATCTTTAAAAAAAGAAAACTAAGTTTTGGGTTGGTGGGATGGCTCAGTGGATGAAGCCATGGCAGCTTCCATGGGACCTGCATGGTAGGAGAGGACCAGCCTTCCAAAGCTGTCCTCTGACCTTAACACACATGCTATGGCGTGGTGTTTGTAAGTACATACTTCACAGACACAAAAATAAATGTAATAAAAAACTTCAAGAAGTCCTAAATACCCAGGTGGTGGAGGTACACGCCTTTAATCCCAGCACTCGGGAGGCAGAGGCAGGTGGATCTGTGAGTTGGAGACCAGCCTGGTCTATAGAGTGAGTTCCAGGACAGCCAGGGATACACAGAGAGAAACACTGTCTCCCAAAACCAAAACAACAAAAAAAAGTCCTAAAAAACTGGGAACTCAAAACTATCCAGTCTGGGGAACAAAGCGCTGACCTGGCAGGAGTGTTACATACGCTCACAGTCCATGTTCCTACGAGCCATTAGTGGGATAGTGGTTAGCAGAGCGGCCTTCCTTGTTTTCTGGTCTGAAAGACAATGCTGAAAGATGTCTATTTTTCTCAAATTGACCTTTAGATTTAAAATCCAAGAATGGCCAAGACAGGACAGTCTTGAAGGACACGACATGAGGACTTTCTCTAACAGAGATGATCTTATTTAAAGCTAGAGCTGAGTGTGTTTTTAGAGTCAGGAGTAGTGATGCATGTACAATTCCAGTACTTGGTAGGCTGAGCAGAATTGTGAATTCAAGGACAATCTAGGACAGGGAGAGAGAAGGGGTAGGGAGAAAGAGAGAGAGAGAGAGAGAGAGAGAGAGAGAGAGAGAGTATCTAAAAAGGCATAAAGAGTATGATTTTGTTATAGAGATAAATAGAACAACAGAAGAGAATAAATAGGGGTGTGTGTGTGTGTAATCGTATATGTGGTTCCTGGATTTGACACAAATATCCCACTTGGCTGGTGGTGGCCTACACCTTTAATTCCAACATTTGGGAGGCAGAGGCCAGCCTGGTCTATAGAGTGAGTTCTAGGATACCAGGGCTACACAGAGAAACCCTATTTTGACCCCTGACCCCCCCAAATCCCACTTAAAGCATGTGGATTTTCAGAAATCAGTAGCTTACATTGCCATAAAGACTACAAAGTGAGTGTGTCTGGCAGGAAGTCAGTACTATAAACAGTAGGCTTTTCTATATAACTACGTGCTGGGTGACTGCAGGGCTACCAGAAAGTTGTACCTCAAACCTCCTGGAGCTCAGAAAGTTTATTTCTCCCCACCTGAATAGAGTGGCCCGGAGAATCTATGCACCAACAGAGACTCTGAAGCTGAGACACAGTCTCCTGGGACTGAAGCAAGTCATATAACCAAATACTGGCACATGTTCATGTAACGGTGCCAGTTAAGCCCAGGTTAATTAATTACTACTCAGAAAATTAATACTCAAGAACAAAGTCACCTGTTAAACATTAGAGAGAACATACCCCAAGGGTAGGCAACAGAGGCAACAAAAATGTTAAATTTTCATGTATCTAGTAATTTTATTATAAATATGATTTTATCATTTGACTATATGTATTTACTAATAAAATGTTAGTCAAGCCGGGCGGTGGTGGCGCACGCCTTTAATCCCAGCACTCGGGAGGCAGAGCCAGGCGGATCTCTGTGAGTTCGAGGCCAGCCTGGTCTCCAAAGCGAGTTCCAGGAAAGGCGCAAAGCTACACAGAGAAACCCTGTCTCGAAAAACCAAAAAAAAAAAAAAAAAAAATGTTAGTCAAGACTTCAGTTTGAAAAATATTTGCCTGTTTCTGCCTCCTAAGTGATGGGACTAAAAGCATGCACCACCAAGCCTGGTTTATTACTGAGTATTAGTGAAGTATATTGGAACATTTCGTTCATACTCTACCACCCAGAGGACAGATCCATATCAAGGCTCAACATGTCACCCAATTCACTGGAAGGAGGCCTACTGGGATTTATTTACCTCCATCATGGTAGCACAGTGCCAAGGCCAGTGCCGACAGCCTAATACCCTCTTGGGAACATACCTGTACAGGTTCTCAATAGTCTGTTCCCTGGAGAACCAGGAGGAACTCTGAATGTTTTCCCACTTAAGTCATCTCATTAGTAATGGTAAGATACTGCATGCACATACTCAGCACTCAGGGGCTGAGGCAGGATCCAGACCAAAGCCTGCCTGAGCTATATCATCAGCTCCCTCTCCACTCCAAAAAAAGAGTTACGCCAATAAAGCAAATTAGAGTCTGGGAGTATAGCTCAGTGGTAGAGTGATTGCTGGCATGTACATGGCTTGGATAGGGGAGATGGTTATAAACCTCTTCTCAATTCAGTAAGCTGTATCATGATCTTTCCAGTATATTCTATTATCTCAACTGGCACAGAGTTTTTTTTTTTTTTTGTAATAAAGAGAACTAGCTTCTATGAGGCAGAGTAAAATCAATCTTCTTAAAACGAGCATCTTTTATGTGATTCCTGTTATTATCCCAGTGTTTGTAAACACACCTTTCTTGCATCTCTAACAACGCCATCTGAGATCCCCAGAGTTTCCCAGAGATGGCCTCATAATGCAGCCACTAAGGGATGAGCAGTAAGGAGCCTGCTTCTCCCAGCAGCTGAAGGTCTTAGTACAAAGTAAGCTCTAGCTGGACGTTGGTGGCACACGCCTTTAATTCCAGCACTTGGGATGCAGAGCCAGGAGGATCTCTGTGAGTTCGAGGCCAGCCTGGTCTACAGATCAAGATCCAGGACAGGCTTCAAAGCTACACAGAGAAACCCTGTCTCGAAAAAACAAACAAAAAACAAACAAAACAAAACAAAAAAGTGAGCTCTAATTCCTGCACACAATAATGTTACAAAGATCATTTAGCAAGATGCCATTTCAAGCTGTATCTACCTTACTCAGTTCTCACATTGGCTACCCTTGCTTTACAGTTGGCAAGTAAGCTCAGAAGTGGAGTGATCTGCTCAGGGACACCTGGGAGAAACAGTGGCAGGATCTAAATATTGGCCCCTCCGATCCCCAAGCCCTGCTGCCCTGCAGAGTCTGCCTTCTGATTCATATTCCCATTCTCTCTTTGCCTCCTACTTACAGATAAGGATGTAAGCTCTCAGTCTGCCTGCTGTCATGCTCCCCACTATGATGGCCATGGACTCACCCTCTGAAACCGTGAGCCTTCATTAAATGCTGCCTCCTATAAGTTGCCTTGGTCACGGTGCTTTGTCACAGCAGTAGAAAGGTTAACTAAGACATGGTCTATCCATGAACCCTCATTGTACAGATAAGTACACTGCGGCCCACAGAGCAAGCAGCTGGCCTTGCCCCCAAGTCACACAGACAACTGGAGACAGAGCTAGGGTTAGAACGTGAGGCACTCCAGGTCACACAGGGAACAATGACTGTGACAAGCTGGAGAACAGCAACGCAAGAATCTAGAGACAAATGATCCCTTTAATTCAGGAGGTGCTGGGAGTTGAGCTGGGCTTTTAAAGCATGAGGGTAAAGACTCAAGGCAAAGACTAACACTCCCTCACTCTGAGCAAAGGAGCAAATGGAAGCCACAGGCCGCTGAGTGGGGCCGATGAGGAGCCTGAGTCTATCACTCACAACAGAGCCAGAGTGCAGCAGGAAGCCTGCAGGCCTGACCTCTCATGACCTGCTCTGCTCACACATCCTGCTTTCAGGCTGATGGCAGGTCTCCTAACAAGTACAAAAGATGGCTGGAAACAAAACGAAATAAAAACATTGAGTACATTTTTGTGAGTCTGAATTACATAAGATTCCTTCGATAAGAATCCAAAAGTACAACCAAACAAAGAAAACAGTACATAAATTTGACTTCATTAAATTTTAAAACTTTTGTGCTTTAAAGAGCACCATCAAGCCGGGCGGTGGTGGCGCACGCCTTTAATCCCAGCACTTGGGAGGCAGAGCCAGGCGGATCTCTGTGAGTTCAAGGCCAGCCTGGACTACCAAGTGAGTTCCAGGTAAGGCGCAAAGCTACACAGGGAGACCCTGTCTCGAAAAACCAAAAAAAAAAAAAAAAAAAAAAAAAAAGAGCACCATCAAAAGTAAAAAAAAGAAGGGAGCTAGAGAGATGGCTTAGTGCTTAAGAACACTGGCTGATCTTCCAAAGGATGCAGGTTCAATTTTTAGCACCCATAAAATGGTTCACAACTGTCTGTAACAACTGTAGTTCCATGGACTCTTTTCTGGTTTCTGTGGGTCCTGCACACACATGGTGCACAGACATACATGCAGGAAAAACACCTATACACATAGAATGAACAAAATCTTTAAAAAAAAAAATTAAAAAGGTCTGGGTACAGTGGCACATACCTAGGTGGATTGGATCTTTGTGAGTTCAAACCCAACCTGGTCCATAGAGACCTGAGTTTGGTCCTTGGGACCCACATGGTGGAAGCAGAGAATTGAATCCCACAAAATGTCTTCTGACATGACACATAAACGTAACTTAAAAATTGAAAATAAAGACAAACCAATCATAAAATGGGCAAGGAATGATAACACATATTTCTCCAAAGAAGATACACGAATGGCTAGTAAGCACCTAACAAGATGCCCATACTATTAGTCATTGGGGAAATGCAGAGCAAAACAAGGAGAGAGCACTTCATACTTAACAGACAGACATCACACGCATCAGATGGGATGCAAGGCAACTGCTTTTGGGACCACACCATGGTGGAGCTGCTAGGAAAATGGTTCACTCATTCCTGAAAAGCTACCCATGTGGTTACCACAGACCCAGCAAGTCCACTCCTACGTACAATCCTAAGAGAAATGAAAGTATACAAAAACAGGCACCCAGTTGTTCACACCAGCACTACTCATAATAGCCCAAAGCAAAAAATCCCCCAAAGCCATCACTGATGAGAGAGAAGTCAAATGAAGCATTGCTATATAGTGGATACTACTCAGCCATCTATGAAGGAAGTACCAATCCACACCACACGAGTGAACTGTGCAGGCATGCTACGTGGATGAAACAGACACAAAGGACCACACAGTAAATCATTTCATTTATACCAAGTGTCCAGAAGACAGAAATATGTGGAGAAAGTAAATGAAGCAAATGAGGGATTTCCAAGGGCTAGGGAAGGAGCAGGTAGTTTCCTTTTAGGGGAAAGGAAAAAGTCTCAGAGTTGGATAGGAAAGAGTTCATAGATACCATCTCCCCAGCCCCAGTGAGCTGTACCTGGCCCGAGGGCTTCCAATTTCTTTCTTTGTTGTTCCCTGTGGAAAACCATTGGCAGTCACATCCAAAGGATGCTCAGGAACAGCACTCCAGCTGATAGCTGTGGAGAGAGGAATTCTGGGATTAAAACATTTTCTACTCCTGGATCAGTGCTGCCCTCAATCTTGGCCCGAGAATTTCCTCTCTGCAGTGGGCAGCCATTAATACCGACTCATAACTGGTCACAGTGTTGAGAGCAAGCATCCACTGAGTGCTCATCTCTCAATGAGACAACTGTCTCCATCCCCACCCCCAAGGCTCAGGGAACACTGTGGAAGAGGTGAGATGGAGGAGAGAGCTGGAGGATGGGGAGGAGGGCTGTGAAATGTTCTTCTCTGGACATTTGATGGCCGCTGCACTCAGGAGCTTACTGTAGCTATGGTTACCTGCAAAACTCCAGCTAAGATGAGTCAAGATGTCAACAGGCAGCACTAACCGGACTCAGCAGGCTCCAGAAAAAGAAAACAAACAAACAAACAAACAAACAACCCCCAAACCAAACCAAATAAATGAGAGAGAGAGAGAGAGAGAGAGAGAGAACCAACACATAAACACATACATGGAAGAGGAGGGAGGGTGACATGTTGGGAGAGTTGGGGTCAAAATAAAAGATAGAAACCTGTGTAGTTTCCCATGAATGTTACAATATTTTTACTCACAAAAATATTTTTCTGCCTCTACAGCACCATGAAAGTTAGATATGACATCAAAACCCAGTTGGATCTGATGCTTGGTTCCTCAGGGTTCAATGATATCAAACGGTTCATCATTTTTTTCCCCGAGACAGGGTTTCTCTGTGTAGCGCTGGCTGTCCTGCAACTCACTCTGTAGACCAGGCTGGCCTTGAACTCAGAGATTCACCTGCCTCTGCCTCCTGAGTGCTGGGATTTATGATATGCGACACCACACCCAGTAGTTCACGATGATTATTATTATAGCTTACAATTGAACGTTTCATTATACTTATTTATTGGGAGACACATATGTATGCCGTGGCGCATGTGTGGAGGTCAGAGGACAACCTGAGGGCAGGTGGGTTCTTTGCTCCCACATGTGGGTTCCAGGAATCAAACTCGAGTTATCAGGTTTGTTGGCAAATGTGCCTTTACCTGCTGAGCCATCTCACTGGCTCCTAACTTATAATCTCATTGAAAATGTGTTATATGGTAGACACGGAATAATTGTATAAGTACAATTTCTTAATTCTCATAATAGGCATGACAAGCAATGTTCTTCTCATCTGAAGAAGAAAGGCCATAAAGAAGGCCAAGACAGGGCACCTAGCCTGGCCAGGATCTCCCAGGGCATACACTCAACCCTGTGTGGGTGTCTTCCAAGGAACACACGGGTTAGCACTGTCGCCCTGGGACAGTGTCAGAGCAGTTACTCCAGGGTCAGCTAACCTGGACTCCTTACCTGCCCCACAAGGCACGAGCCGGCCCGCTCCGTCGGCTCTTCGCACTTGCACTGCATGGCGGCTCTGTTCGAACAGCAAACCTGACTGCTCTATCTTCAGTTCAGGAACTCCAAAGCCTCTGGGTAACTCCAAGGCCTCCTGACACCTAAGGAGGAGGGAACTGCCTTCGGTTTAGATGCACCTGGAGAAGAAGACTCAGAGAAGCGTATCATCCCCGAGCCCTAGGACAGACAAAGACCCTAGTGGCCGAGTGAATCCACCAGTTTACTTATTGAAGTGGGGAGTGAAGAACGCCAGGATACCACACAGTAGGAACTTTTGATTTTTTTTTTTTGGTTTTTCGAGACAGGGTTTCTCTGTGTAGCTTTGCGCCTTTCCTGGATCTCACTCTGTAGACCAGGCTGGCCTCGAACTCACAAAGATCCGCCTGGCTCTGCCTCCCGAGTACTGGGATTAAAGGCGTGCGCCACCACCGCCCGGCCATGAAACTTTTGAATTTTATTACTTATTTATTTGAGACGGATCCCAATTAGCCTGGTATAGTCCCCAACCTGAAATACAGCAGAGTACAACCTTGAAATTCTGATCCCCCTGCCTCTACCTCCTGAGTGCTGGTGTACAGGATAACCCACCCTTTTTTATGAGGTGTTGGGGATCAAACAGACAGCCTTATGCCCGCTAGCAAGCAGTTACTAACTGAGCTATATCCCCAGCCCCAGCAGGAATTCTATGACTGGAAAAAGATCCCATTTTACTGGTCTAAAGGCATAACTAAAAACTGAGTTAATATCCATCAGTGGTGTCAGAAATCTCAAATTTCATTCTTCACTTGAGAAACTTAAACTTTACCTTGTTTACACAGGCTTCCTAAGAAATTCTTCAAACTCACCCCAAACTAAAATCATCCCATACTGTAAGTTGGTTTTCCCCCTTTTCTGAACAAGCCAGGTGCTCATATGATGCAAATCTAATGCACAGATAGGAACTTCAAATCTCAGAAACTTTATAACCATTAGCAGCCTCCACTACTCTCCATGCCCTTCTCCAGCCACCGGTAACCACAAACCCAGATCTCTATGTACCTGACTGTGTAACAGCCCTGACTGTCCTGGAACTCACTCTGTAGACCAGGCTGGCCTTGAATTCACAGAGATCCACCTGTCTCTGCCTCCCAAGTGCTGAGACTAAAGGCGTGCGCTACCACCGCCCAGCTTGTACTTGCCTCTTGTGGTTATTTCACATCAACAGACTCAAACATTCATGGCTTATTTCACTTAGCATGGTATTTTAATGGTTCACTCATGTTGTAGCATGTATCAGCACACTAGTCTTTTTTTTTGAGACTAGATCTCATGTAGCTCAGGCTAGCCTTGACCCTAATATAACTTCTGATCCTCCCGTCCAAGTTTTGGGATTACAGGCTGAGTGCCACCATGTTTGGTACTCCAAGACTTTCTAACAATGGACAGTATTTCTCTGTGTTACAGTCTTGGCTGTCTTGGAACCAGACTGGCCTCAAAGCTCACAAAGATCCAACTACATCTGACTCCCAAGTGCTGAGAAGCTGAGAATAAGGACCTGTGCCGCCATGCCTGGACATACGTGAAGTCTTTCTTGCTCATGGATCTACTGAGCAGCACTGGGCTGCTTCTGTTTGGGGCTATTCCTAGCATGCTGCTATAAACATCTGTGTGTATGTTTTAGTGGGATTGTACATTTTCACTTCTCTAGGGTGTATGCCTAGGAGTGGGAACACTAGGTTCTGTCTGGGGTGCTGCTTTTGGAATCTGCTACCCAGGCTTATATCCCCATGATGCCTCTCTAGCCCTCATCTACTACAGCACACACCAGAGTGGTCATGTGTACAGCCATCACTGTTTATCTTTTTTTGAAACAGGGTCTTTGTTTATTTTGCCAAGATTTAGAATCTTGCTATGAAGCTTAGACTGGCCTTCAACTGAGCTCCCCCATTACAGCTTCCTGAGTACTGGGGTTAAAACTAGTATTTTTTTTTTTTTTCAAGAAAAGGTTTCTCTGTGTAACCCTGGCTGTCCTGGAATTCATTATGTAGACCAAGCTAGTCTCAAATTCACAGAGATTATTTAGTGTTTTTTAAGTATAATGGTCATGTAGCCTGGGCTGGCCTCAAACTCCCTATGTAGCTAAGGGTAACCTTGAACTTCTGATCTTCCTGTTTCCTCCTCCCAAATGCTAAGATTAGAAGTCTATGCCTTCATGGCCAGTTTTATGCAGTGCTGAAATTCAATCTAGGGCTCCTTCAAATTAGGCAAGCACTCTTCCAACTGAGATACATTCCCCAGCCCTGGCAATTATTCTGCTTACTGTAGAAATGCACAGAAGAAAAATGATAATGTACAGCAATAACAAAGAAGAACAGCCCATAACACCATGACTCAGAGATAATTATCGATATACAGCCTCCTACAGCTTTCTGTGCACATCCATATTTTAAGACCAAGATGGAGCTCACTTCATCTTCTAAATTGCTCTTTAAACATCACAAACATCTTTCTACATTAAATATTCATCAATACTATTTTTAACAAAAGAAATCACTTAATTTCCAATGGCAGAGCATTTCTGGTTTCCTTTTCTTTTTAAGTTACTGTATATATAAACCTAAGACTTATACTTTCTTAATTATTTCTTTAAAAATAATAAATAAGGTGGAGACTCTCCTGGTTCCTCGCACACCTTCTACTGCCCTCCCCACGGCCTCTCACCTGCCAGTCAACGCTCTCCTCATGGCTTCCTGGCTGTATGGGCACTTCCCAATGACCAGAGCTGACAGGTAGATGGGCTTTTCCAGGAAGTGCATCAGCAGTGCACCCTGGCATCCAAGGACATTCCACCTTGCCATCTTGTCACTGCAGGACATGGAGCACGTCCTGTCTCCCCTGCCAGGCTTTACTCGAAGCAGCCCCACCTGGTGGTAGGCAGCACCTGGCTTTCTCAAGTCTCCGGTGTCTCCGGGAACGCACTTGGCTCCTGTTCTATACACATCTACCACTCTGAAACTACCTGGAGCTGTTCCATTGGCAGCATCCAGTTCCTCCGTGGTGAGATCAGAGCTGCTGACATCTGGTTTGATTGTACCACTTTCCTGCATCCCATGGTGAGCTATGCAACTGGAGAGCGCCCTGGCAGGAGCTCCAAGCTTCATCTTCTTGGCTACAGGGCTGTCAGGGTCTTCACAATCCCTTTTATTTTTGGAATCCTCTAGATTATCACTCCTTTCCACAGGTGAGTTGTTGACCCCATTTCTGATGACAAGACAGCAAGGTTGTTCTTCAAACTCCAGCATTGGAATGATGGAGGCATCCCCACCTGCATGAGAGGGGACCCTTTAACCAGGAATTCTCAGAACGAGCCTCCCCAGCCAGTGACATTAATGTCCCTTAGGAATTAGAAATGCAAATTGTAAGGCTGGAGAGATAACTCGGTAGAGTGATTGTCTCGCATGCAGGAGACCCTGAGTTCAATCCTCAACACTGTATGTGTGTGAGTGTGTGTGTGTGTAAAGCAAATTATTGGGAACTAATGGACATGCTGAATGAGAAACTCGGAAGGTTGGACCCAGAAGTCTGTTTTAATAAGCTGAGCAGGCCATTCTGATGCAAACCCAAGTTAGAGAACCGTATCCTCAAACCGAGGTCAATTTGTTTTCCCTGCTGAACTGAGGTGAGGAAAGAGGCAGAGAGGTGATGAGCTCAGCGGTAAAGCATAGGTCTAATGAGCGTGAAGCCCAGGCGTGATTGTAACTACCACTAAAAGAGAGACAAATAAATACAAAACCAAAATCCGCAAACGGACACCTGCAGGCGTTGGTACTCACCTTCCTCTGTGTGACACGGGATCGTGTTCCCTAGTGCATATGCCAGCAATCCATTCTGTCATAAGATTGGTAAGATTACAGACATGTGCTAGTATGTCTGGCTTTACGTGGGTTCTAGGAATTCAACGTTGCCATAAATGGTTGAAAGCTTGTATAGCAAGCACTTTACACATCAGACCTCCACAGACATGCTTCTTTTAACACTAAATTAACATTAGGGCTGGAGAGACGGCTCAGTGATGAAGAGCACTTGCTATTCTCCCATGGGCACAGGTTCAGTTCCCAGCACCCACATCAGGTGGTTTATAACCTCCTATAATTCCAGTTCCAGGGGATCTGACACCCCTGGTCTCTACTGGCACTTGTATGCAAGTGGTACCCATAAACTCACATAAGCACACACATAGTCACATAACAATAAGTAAATAAATCTTTTACAAAATTAATGATATACATATATATACAAACAAACAAAAACCCATGCATGTGCTAAAGCTCTAATAAAAATTGCTGAGGTCAGCCGGGGGGGGTGGGGGGGGTGGGGTGGTGGCGCACACCTTTAATCCCAGCACTTGGGAGACAGTGGCAGGCAGATCTCTGTGAGTTTGAGGCCAGCCTGGTCTACAGAGTGAGATCCAGGACAGCCAGGGTTACACAGAGAAACCCTGTCTCAGAAAAAAAACAACAAACAAACAAAAAAAACCCCACTGAGGTCTTGATGAAACCCCTCTACTAGACCCCATGAGTTAAAACTTCTTGATGAGAGAATTATGGAAATTTCTGCCACAAAGAAGTTTTAGAAACACTGTTTAGACCAGGGTTTCTCAATCTCCACACTCATGAAATTTTTGTTTTGAGACAACACCTCCTGTAACTCAGACTGGCTTCAAACTCCCTATTAGCCAAGGATGGCCTCGAATTTCTGAACCTCCTGCCTCTGCCTCCTAACACCTGCAATCACAAGTGTGTCCCCAAGCCTGGGTCTAATGAAACTGAGTCAGGTAATTATTTGCCACGGAGGTGATCCTGTATGATATAATCCTCCAGTCCGACAATCAAAAGTGTCTCCAGAGCCAGTCTGGTTGCACACACATGTAATCCCAACACATGGGGATTGGAGTGAAACTATCCTCAGCTAAGAACTACAGTTTTAAGGGAAGCCTTAAAAAAAAAGACATTTTAAAGAAGTATATGTGTTTGTCTCATATTCACATGTGTGCAGGTGTCTACAGAGGCCAGAAGAGGGTCTTGGGTCCCATGAAACGGGACTTGCAGGCAGTTTTGAGCTGCCCAGGATGGGTGCTGGGAACTGAACTCATGTTCTCTAGAAGAGCAGTCAGTGTCCTTAACCACTGAGTCACCTCACCTGCTTAGGCAAAGACTTGTTTTGTGACACTGGAGATCACAACCAAGTCTTGTGAATACTGGGCAAGCACTCTACCACTGAGCTACATACCTCAGCCTGAGAACTACTGATTTGCAATGAGAAAAGTTTCCCAAGGGCATTTTGTGGACTGGTATCCTGTAAATGCCTTGGAATACAGTAGTGGCTTATTTCACGGTTGAGTAAATTTGACAAACATTATTCAAAATATCCTCATCTTAGGGATTTTATGATGCATATTCCTACAGTAAAAACCCACAATAAATTGCCAATTCCAGTCCACACCAGTGTTTCCAAAAGCTCCAGTGTTTCCCTTTGCTGGATTACAGATGTCCAACCTACTCTGTGCCCACAGGAAGCAGAGAAAACCTGAGGTCAGGGGAACGCACGTGCTCCCTTGAGAAGGGGGCTATTTCTCCAAACCAACCCAAATGTTGCTTTTTCAGTGTGGAAAGAATATCCTTGTAGTCTTTAAAACCAGAGAGTGGGAAAGGCAAGAGGGGTACAGAAGGAGAAATGCCACAGGAGAGGCTGCCTGGCTGACTTCCAGAGACCTTACAAGGTGACAGCAACTTTGGAGAATTCTTTGGGGTCCACCTCCTTCTCTGTAGGCACAGAGATGTGATCTTGACAGACGCCTGAGTACGAGAGGCTGACTCATGCTAATAAAACACAAAAGTAAGAGTCTGAAGTAGCTAACCAAGACACCAAATTATTAATTAGTAATGAGAAGTAAATGTCAAGGGAGCCAGAGAGTCACATTTGCTAGGCAGTGTGCTTCCTTCCTACAGATAAACCACGGGTGGGGTGGGAGGGGGCGCCACATGCAAAAGATTACTCATGAACGCAGGGAGCTATATCAGTGACTGAAGATTTTATCCAGCAAAACACTTTCTGGAGTTTTTAAGATTAACAGAGGGTTGCCAACTTCTTATTTAAGATCTTTAAAAACAAAAAGCCAATTACCACAATTAACAAAGAGAGAGCCTCCGCCCACCCCACAGCTCTTCTCTCTCCCACCTCTCAGCACACTGTGTCACCATCCCTTCAAAGCCTGAGGAGAAACCTGGAAGCCATCTTTGCCGCCTCCTTCACAACAATCATGAAGTCTGACAACTGTCCTCCTAAATCTCCCTTACATCTACTCAGTTGTCTACCTCTCATGAATGACCTCTCCCCTCCCTCAGTCATACCCTCACTTAAAACACAACAAAAAACTCTTGAAACCTTTCCTTTTGAATCATCTACTACACAGTCTGGATTCTTCTTGCTTTGCAGATGCTCACAGATCAGTACGGCCCTGAGCCCGCTGGTCCGTGTAGTTTGTTAGAAGGCTGACACCTTGGATCTATGCCCCAGGTCTTTACTCACATTAAGCAAGCACATTACCACTGAGCTCTCTCCCCAGCCCCTTATTCACTGCTTTATACTTAGTACGCCCTATTGTGTCTGAGTAATGGAGAATACTTATTCGAGACAGACATGGTGCCACACTCCTGTAACTTCAGGAGTTCAAGGCAAGGTGGACTAACAGCAGGACCATCTTAAAACACACACACACATACACAAAACAAAAAACTCTGGGTGTGGGGAGCATGCCTACATTCCCAGCACTTGGGTGACTGAGGCAGGAAGTTTGCTGAAGCTCAAGGCCAACATGGGCCTACGTATTAAGTCTAAGGCCGGCCAGGACAACTTAGCAAAAACCTGTCTCAAAAGCCAGTGAGCTGGCTCAGTATGTGAAGGCGCTTGCTGCCAAGCCTGATGGGTTCCACCTGTAGACCCCACCTAGTGGAAGCCAAGCACTAACTACAAGTTGTCCTCTGACCTCCACGTGTGTACAGTGGACATGTACATGCACACAGCCTCTCTCTAAATACATAACTAAAAATATCGTCTCCAGTGAATAGATGACTGAATGCAATGGGCTTTAGGGTAAGTTACTGTTGTAAGACTTCGGGCTTTTGAGCCCCAATAATTACGTTGTACTTCGTGGGGTTAAGCTTGAAGCTGTCCAGTCTTGACTTTGAGAACTAACAGTAGAAGACTTCTCCCCTCCCTATATCTGCCTTCTGCTTTTCCCCCGGTAGAAATGTGGTCATATATATAAATAATCACTACCATTAGTTGTAGCTATATCCAGCCAGAAGTTTTTTGGAGAAATATCTCTATGAGTGAGATAAGCCTAAGGAAGCAGTCAATACAACATTACTCCTAAGGCTTGACTATACTCACAGGGTGTGTGGCTAGAGAAAAACACAAAAGACAGGTCAGGTCTGAGCGTCCACAGTCCTCTTTGAGTTCCTGGCACAAAGATACTATCCTCTTTCAGGACGGCCGCCAAATGGAGCTGATGGAGAAGGTACCTGAGGGTTGGAAGATAGCAGAATGAACACTTAGGCTGGGGAAGCAGCTCAGGCTACTTTACATACATGCTGAGGGCCTACCATATGCAGCACCCTTGGCTTGACTCCCAGCACTATAAAATGAGTTAAATGGAGGAAAAAGAATAAACAAATTTCTGTGGTAAAGAGAGCTCTCTTGCTGGGCAATTACAGGAAAGGAGAACAATGAGACTGATAATGATCTGGCATTCTAAGAGTGACAGAAATGAGTCCTTTGTAAAGGTCAGGAAGATTGCAGACTTCGCCCTGGATCTACTGAAATCAGAATCTCTGGAGGTAGGTTCAGCCATCTTGTCTACTCCCATCCCTGGGCCGAGGTTTGAACCCAAAGTTCTGATGTGCTAGGCAAGGGCTCCATTACTAGCTCCATTACTAAGCTTATAACCCTGGTCCCAGAAACCTGGGTTTTTTGTTTGTTTGTTTTCAAGACAGGGTTTCTCTGTGTAAAAGCCCTGGCTGTCTTAGAACTCAATCTGTAGACTAGGCTGTCTCAAACTCACAGAGATCCACCTGCCTCTGCCTCCCAGTGCTGGGATTAAAGGCATGCGCCACCACTGCCTGGCAAGAACCCTGGGTTTTAACACGTGATTCTGAGGCATACTCAAGTTTGGGAACACTAATCTGGACTCTGGTAGTTCAGAGAGACATAATCTACATCAGCTTCGAGCTCATTAGAAATGCAAACCCCACCCCCCAGACATATTCAACCAGACTCTTTGGAAGTATGACTTTACCTCTGGAAACTTCTTCGGGCTATGATCTCAGCATGGCTGTCATTGAGGATGTCTCCTGTGGCAAAGACAGGAGATATGGATTAAATGAAGCCTGGGATCTGGAGGGCCTGGCGGAATACAGCAGTACCCCGCCAGCACTCAGGATGGCCATGTTACCTCCTCGAAGGCTCTGTGAGAAAGTGTCACAGTCATTAGTGGTGATGTACTTACAGCTTGAGTTTCTCAACATTTGGGACAATAAAATTCTTTGTTGTAGGGGGAAAGCCTATAAAATATAGGATGAGGTAGGTGTGGTGGTGCATGTCTTTAATCCCAGCACTCAGGAGGCATAGGTTGGTGGATCTCTGTGAGTTCAAGTCCAGCATGGTCTACACAGTGAGTTCTAGGTCAGCCACAGCTACACAGAGAAACCCAGTCTCAAACACACACACACACACACACACACACACACACACACACACACACACACACACACCAGGGCTACATAGGGAGACCCTATCTCAAACAAACAAAAACATTTAGGATGTACAGGATCCTTTACCCACAAGATGCCAAGAATACCCCACCCCACCCCATGTGGTGATGACTAAAAACTCTTCTGGACAATGTCAAAGTACCTTGGGTACAAAATTGCCATTGGTTGCTGGGTTTATCATGGTGCCTATAATCCCTGGCTTAGGCAGGAATACCATGAACATAGCAAGTTCTAGATAAGCCTTGGCTACATACTGAGATCCTATCTCAAAATACTAAACAAATTAAAAAAAAAACAAATAAACCAAGTGAAACAAACAAACAAACAAACAAAAATACCTCTTATAGTTGTTGTTTCACTCTCTGGGGGGCCTGCTACCCAGCTCCTAAATAATCCCACAGAGACGTATTCTTACTTATGAATACCCGGCCTTAGCTTGGCTTGTTTCTAGTCAGCTTTTCTTTTTTCTTTTTTTGATTTTTCGAGACAGGGTTTCTCTGTGTAGCCCTGGCTGTCCTGGAACTCACTCTGTAGACCAGGCTGGCCTCGAACTCACAGAAATCTCCCTGCCTCTGCCTCCTGAGTACTGGGATTAAAGGCATGCGCCACCACTGCCCAGCCCTAGCCAGCTTTTCTTAACTAAAATTATTCCATCTACCTTTTGCCTCTGGGCTTTTATCTTTCTCTATTCTATATACCTTTCTTTACTTCTTACTCCATGGCTTGCTGTGTAGCTGGGTGGCCTCTGATATCCTCTCTCCTTCTTTTCTCATTCCTTGATCTTCTTCCCAGATTTCTCCTTCTATATATTCTCTCTGCCTGCCAGTCCCTCCTATCCTTTCTCCTGCCTAGCTATTGACCATTTAGATCTTTATTAGACCAATCAGGTGTTTTAGACAGGCCAAGTAACACAGCTTCATAGAGTTAAACAAATGCAACATAAAAGAATGCAACACATCTTTGCATCATTAAACAAATATTCCATAGCATAAATGAATGTAACACATCTTTAACTAATATTCCACAACAACCTCTAGTTGAGATTTATAGAAACAATTTTTTTTGAAGTGCTTGGGGATTGGATCTAGTGCCTTATGCATCTAGGCAAGTGCACTGCCCCTGAGCTATATCCCCAAATTCCTTCAATTTTTTAAAGAAGATATCTTATTACATTTTCATTGATTTATTTTGTATATATGTGCCATGATGTGTACACATGTGATACAATATGCATGTAGATAGAGGTCAGTTTTCTCCTTCTACTATGTGGGTCCTGAGAATCAAGCTTAGCTTGTGGCTTGGTGACAGACAAGGTCTCACTGTGTAGCTCTAGCTGGCCTGGGACTCGCTAGAACTCCACAGCAATCCATCAATCTCTGTCTCCAAAATGCTGGGCTTAAAAGTGTGCACCACCAACTCTGACACTTTATTTATTGAGACAGGGTTTCTTTGTGTAACCTTGGCTGTCCTGGAATTAGTTCTATAGACTAGGCTGACCTTGAACTCACAGAGATCCACCTGATTCTGTCTCCCGAGTGCTGGGCTTAAAGGCCTGGGCAACCAACCCTGACAAGGGGTTTCACTAAGCTGGTTAAGCTCTTCTTTGACTCTATCTGTAGCTGGTGGGATTGTAGGCTTGTGCCACCTGGCTACAGAAATCCTCCATCTGTAAATCAGGGATGGATTTATCTCATACTATGGTATTGTATTCATGCTCATGGTGATACATTTCCATACGGGACCTGAGATGGTTCCCTCATATACAGGAGATATGGCGAGGAGAATGGAAGGGACATCCACATTCTTGTTGATGCCAAAGGTCTATTTAATTCAAGACTGCTTTCTGGGACTTCAGAAACCACTCAGGCTGCTTCCTCTTCCTGCCACTCTGCCTTAATTCCTTCTAGATATAATGTGGAACAATTAAATTCAGGGAACCTTTGGTTTAAACATTAAATTACTGACTTTTAGAAGTATGTTCCTGGTGATTTTTTGCTCTGATTTGGACTTATTTCTTTTCTTTTTTCCCCCTTGAGGCAAGATATTTACTATGCTAGTCTTGAACTTCTTGCCACAGCTTCTGGAGTGTTGGGATTATAGGCATGCACTACCAAGTTCAGCTCTGAATTCTCGTTTTAAAAAACAAAGTCTTGCCGGGCGGTGGTGGCGCACGCCTTTAATCCCAGCACTTGGGAGGCAGAGCCAGGCGGATCTCTGTGAGTTCGAGGCCAGCCTGGGCTACCAAGTGAGTCCCAGGAAAGGCGCAAAGCTACACAGAGAAACCCTGTCTCGAAAAACCAAAAAAAAAAAAAAAAAAACAAAAAAAAACGAAGTCTTCCCATTGGCAGGACAATCAGTAGGAAATGAGGGGTCAGCCACTCCAACCAGTGTGGCCCCGTTTCTTTGACAAGGAGACTAAAGGTCAGTATGGACACCCTGCGCAGAGATAACTGTTGAGAGCCTCTCCTGGCTTACCGCTCTTCCTCATCTTGGACTGGCCTATGCATTTTGTTCCTGTTCCCATTGAGACAACTTCCTTTGTCACTGAAAGGAAAAAAAGAAATCATTAAGTGAAGTCTCAGAGGCTGAATGCTTCCCAGCGTTCAGGTTTAATAAGTCCATATGTCTCCTTTCTCCAGAGGATTCCCACAGGTGGTCTCTACCAGGACTGCAGTTCCGTGGTTGAGTTTGCCACCACCAGAAGTATTGCGCCACCTGGTGGAGATCATGGGAAAACACCCAACACTAGAGTTCACATCCGGTCTGGTCTCACCTTGCACTTCCTTACCAGTGGTGTCACAAGTTTGGTCAGCTGGAGACTGTATCTTCACCACAGCTGCCAACAAAGTCCATTCACGATCTGGCTCAGGCTTCCCCTGCTTGGGGAGTTTGCCACTATAGTGTGCATAGCACAGCTGAGCAATCTCATCTGCTGTCCACATAGCTGGAGCTGGAGCGGAGGCCCTCATAAAAGCCAAAACTATCAGAATAGAAAGGAAAACCAGTGTAAGACAGAGCCTCCCTCACTCCAGTGCCTCAGCAGTCTCCAGTGTAGCCGGAGTGCTCAGACTAAGGATCCTGTTTTCCTACTAACCTCCCTTCCCTCCCGTATTTAATAGACGAGAGAGAGAGAGAGAGCCACAACTCCCACAAGGCATGTTACCGCTTCAAGATTAAAACAGCTATGGTATACCAGTTAATGAATCTGGATTTACTATGTTTTACACTGTCCTTTCAAATATCAGCTTGCTCTGGGCAGAGCTTCACCCTACAAAGTTACTTTCTGGACAGATGTTCTTTTCCTCCTTTTTTCCCAACAGACAAGTCAACCTACCTCAAGCTAGCAAATTTCCAAAGTCTCTCACTGGATGTTTTCACAACAGTTGTACTTAAGGGTGTGGGCATGGAGCTGTACTTTCTAGGTTTCAATTCCAGGTGTACCACAGATTAACTGTGTGATTATTGGGTGGATTATTTTAGTTTTCACATCTGTTAAAACATGGATCATAGCTGGCCAGTGGTGGTGTGTGTCTTTAAACCCAGCACTCAGGGGTAAGAGGCAAGTGAATCTCTGAGCTCGAGGCCTGCTTAGTCTACAGAGCGAGCTCCTGGGCAGCCAATGCTACACAGAGAAATCCTGTCTTGAAAAACACAAACAACCCCCACCCCCAAAAAAATCATGAATAATATACTTAACATTTTTTTCTTTTTGATTTTTCAAGATAGGGTTTCTCTGTGTAACAGCCCTGGCTGTCCTGGAACTCGCTCTGTAGACCAGGGTGGCCTCAAACTCATAGACATCTGTCTGCCTCTGCTTCTCGAGTGCTGGGATTAAACGCATGTGCCACCACCACCTGGCTAGTACTTAACATATTTTATTTTTTTTATTTTTATTTTTTTTTATTTATTTATTTATTTTTTTTTTGGTTTTTCGAGACAGGGTTTCTCTGTGTAGCTTTGCGCCTTTCCTGGAACTCACTTGGTAGCCCAGGCTGGCCTCGAACTCACAGAGATCCGCCTGGCTCTGCCTCCCGAGTGCTGGGATTAAAGGCGTGCGCCACCACCGCCCGGCTTAACATATTTTATAAATACTTATAAAAGCAAACGTCTTTAACAATGTTGACTGTGACTGACATTACAAAATACATTTGGTGATCTGGGACATTTGAGTTGGTAGGGGAAGGATTGTAACGGGCACATAAAGCCACTTATACACAAACTAACAAAACATTAAGCTGATCAGATCTGAAAGAGGCCTGAGAGGTTTGCAGAGTCTCCCACTCTTGGCTCTGTTAGTGCTCACTGGATATATCTTGACTTTATGTGATTATATGAAAAGCTTCTTAGATGAGGTTATATGATGGCTAGACACAGCAGAGCATTTGTAGCATAAACAACAGAACAGTTTTTACTGAGCTCAGATGTGATGTTTCTGCAAGGTATTTCTACAACTTCTGCAAGTTGCATTTATTTTTGCAGTAAATGGTAATGATTATTCTAGCAGGGACTGACAGAGATAGTTACTTTAAAGTCTAACGCAGAGAAGTCTTGTATTTCTTTCTTTCTTTCTTTCTCTTTTTTTCAAGATAGGATCTCTCTGTGTAGCCTTGGCTATTCTGGAACTCACTTTGTAGACCAGGCTGGTCTCGAACTCAAGAGATCCGCCTGCCTCTGCCTCCTGAGTGCTGGGTAAGTCTTGTATTTCTAGGAACATAAGCATGGAAGATCCTAGAATCCTGTTAGGTCCAGGGAGGCAGCACAGAACAGTTTATTTTATAAAGGTAGTCACCTGCCATCAACCGACAATTAAACTAGAGGTGCATGTTACGAACTGCAAGTCAAGGGGGGCGAAAGCAGCCCAAACGCCGTCACGTCATTCAGGCAGCGGACTGAAGGACCACGCACGCGGTTGTTGAATGTTTCGATATTTGGGTCCACTGTAACGCTTGTCTACAACCCCTATTTAAAGACCTTGAAAAATTCCTTCATACGAAGGAACTCAAGCAGGCATTTCTCTGACCACTAACAATAGTCGCAAGAAGCTGAAAAACCCATTTCTTCCCCACCTTTCCTTCCCCGGAGGTGGGGCTCCGCGGGACCGGAGCTCCTAGCAGGACCCTGAGACCCCTCCCCGCGGGGGCAGAGGACACGTGTCCTCACAGCCTCCTCCCACACAAGCCCAGCTGTGTCGACCGGGCCCCGAGACGCCGATCTGGAGGCCCTGAGACCCTGTTACCCCCCGCGCCACAGCCCCACGCCCTCCACCACTCCCGCCACACGAACCCCTTCTACTGCCACACTCGCCAAAGAACCCGGTTGCGCAGCGGAAGTGATGCGCTAAACGACAGCTTCGCTCAAGCTCCGCTCGCAAAGCACGCTGGTCTTTGTAGTCCTTGGGTTGGAGCGGAGCCAAGTCCACTCAGTTCTAATCAAGATGTGCTGAGATGAGGAGGAAGCCTGCCTGTGCAGTGAGGTAAGGTTTCAAAACCGACTTACCTCGAAACTCGTCTGAATTTTAACAGGAGTATGACCAGATCCTCTGACAATTTTCCGCCTTACTCATAACAAATCCTGCATGACTATCGTGGGCTTGGATGACATGGCTCCTCACTCATTTCTCTTCAGGGGTAACATCCCTTGTTACTCTATGTACATATATGAATAAATATCCTGCCCCTTGTCGACTGTATGTAAAATAGCACCGCAGTCCTCTTACCCCCTGCTCGGTGTTTTTTTCTTTTTTAAAGATTTATTTATTTATTATGTACACAGTGTTCTGTCTGCATGTTCGCTTGCAGGCCAGAAGAGGGCACCAGATCTCATTATAGAGGGTTGTGAGCCACCATGTGGGTGCTGGGAATTGAACTCAGGACTTCTGGAAGAGCAGCCAGTGCTCTTAACTTCTGAGCCATCTCTCCAGCCCTTGGTGTTATTTCTTAGTGTGTGCGCCCACCAAAAAAGAACATGTACTTGATCTTGTCTGGTTCTCCCTCAACTTCCCCGCTCAAGCCCTGCAGAAAACAGAATTTCCATGGAAGTAGTGATTTGATTGTTCACTGCTGTGTTTCCAGTATTTCAGAACAATGCCTAGTACTGAACAGACATTAATATACATCTGTTTAAAGATTACAGCTGCAGATGAGACTTAAGAGAGTTGACTCAGGAGTTAAGAGCACATCTTGCTCTTGCAGAACTGGACTTTGGTTCTCAGCATCCATTTGGTTGGACAGCTTATAACTGCCTGTAACTCCAGCTCCAGGGGATCCAACGTCTCTGGCCTCAGAGGGCACCTGTACTATAATGCTCACACATGTAATTAAAAATAAAAATAAAGCCAGGCAGTGATGCTGCACCCCTTTAATCCCAGCATTTGGGAGGCAGAGGCAGGTGGATCTCAGTGAGTTCAAGGCTAGCCTGGTCTACAAAACAAGTTCTAGGACAGCCAGATGGTTACACAGAGAAACCCTGTGTCAAAAAATTAAAACCAAATCAAACTAAAAAATTACGGCCGTGCTGCAGCGGCGGCAGATACCTTTAATCCCAGCACTCTGGAGACAGAGCCAGGCAGATCTCGGGGTTCAAGGCCAGCCTGATCTACAGAGTGAGATTCAGGACAGGCACCAAAACTACACAGAGAAACTTTGTCTCTCCCTCCTCTCCCCCCAAAAAAATTACAAGCCAGGTAGTGTGGCAAATGTCTTTAATACTGGCAGAGGCAGGTGTATCTCTGTGAGTTTGTGGCCAGCCTGGTCTACAAAGTGAGTTCCAAGACAGCCAGTTTTTTTTTCTTTTTAAAACAGGGTTTTTCTGTGTAGCTTTGGAACCTATCCTGGAACTCGCTTTGTAGACCAGGCTGGCCTCGAACCTCGAAATCACGGAGATTCACCTGCCTCTGGCTCCTGATTGCTCGGATTAAAGGCGTGCACCACCACCGCCTGGCGACAGCCAGAATTCTTACACAGAGAAATGCTATCTAGCCGGGCGGTGGTGGCGCACGCCTTTAATCCCAGCACTCGGGAGGCAGAGCCAGGCGGATCTCTGTGAGTTCGAGGCCAGCCTGGGCTACCAAGTGAGTTCCAGGAGAGGCACAAAGCTACACAGAGAAACCCTGTCTCGAAAAACCAAAAAAAAAAAAAGAAATGCTATCTAGAAAAACCAAAATCGGGCTGGGGAGATGGCTCAGAGGTTAAGAGCACTGGCTGTTCTTCCAGGGGTCTTGAGTTCAATTCCCAGTGACCATATGGTAGCTCACAACCATCTATGGTGAGATCTGGTGCCCTCTTCTGCCTTGCAGACATACATTCAAGCAGAACATTGTATATATAATAAATAAATAAAGCTTTTAAAAAAAATTAACCAAACAAAACCAATTTACAATAACATGGTCTAAACATTCATTAGACCAGCAGTCTGAGGGGGGAAAAATGTAACATTACATAGGTAAAGAGAGAAATGGTTTATTTGGTAACAAGGAATAAAAAGAAATTCTTTAATTTTTCTCTCTCTTGGTGGTTGGACTGCAGTGACCAGATGGACGGCAACACACATGAACCCTGAGAGCAGATCCTCTGCTGGAATGCAGAGAAACCACCTTCTTTATCCTCTAGGCAGAGGGGCCGGCTGTCGTGCTCTCTAGTGTTTCTGTGGCCGCTGAAGTCTCCTTCTTGTCTTCAGGCTTCATGGCAGGAAACAGAAGTACTTCCTATAGAAGAGCAAAACAGACTTCAAAATTAAGAAGCACCAGGAGCTTGGTGTAGTGGCACAAATCTGTAATCCCAGCACTCAGGAGGCAGAAGCAGGCAGATCTCTGAGAGTTCAAGGCCAGCCTGGTCTACAGAGTGAGTTCCAGGAGGACAGCCAGGGCTACACAGAGAAACCCTGTCTCAAAAAACAAACGAATGAATGAATGAATAAATGCCCCATGAATATTTTTTGTTGTTGTTTTCGCAGCTATCCTTATTGCTTCTGTCTCTGTTGTTACTGACCAACTACACACCCCAGCACAAAACCACCTAGGGCTCCATGTCAAAAGGATGAATCAACACCGGTTCTAGTAAAAGTGAGTTTCAGGGGCTAGAGAGATGGCTCAGCAGTTGCGAGTACCTGCTGTTCTTGCAGAGGCCCCAGCTCCATGGTGGCTTATAGCCGCGTGTAACTTCTTTTAGGGGATTTGACAATCAGCCTCTGCAGGCACAATGTATGCTTGTGGTGCAAAACAGTCATACGTATAATTTTTAAAAACTTATATCAGGAGTTCATGGTCACTGTAAACTACAGTTGGAGATCCAAGAGAGCCCTGTTGTGGGATATTTGTACACTGTGTGAAGGTGTATTGCTGTGACTGGTGTAATAAAAAGATGAACGGCCAATAGCTAGGCAGGAGGTATAGGCAGGACTTCCGGGCAGAGAGAAGAAGTAGGAGGAGGAATCTAGGCGAGTGAGAGAGTTGCCATCCCGTGTGGAGGAAGCAGGATGGGGAGTACTGAGAGTACTGAGAGCCCAGCTACCTGAGACCCTGTCTAAAAGACAGTAACAACAAATGAACAACAAATGGATTTCCTTCTCTATAAAATACAATAAAAACAGTGTTCGCACCTTACAGAACTGACTGATATGAGGCAATACATTTGAGGGGACTTAGCATTTCCCTGGATACTAAAGAAAAGCAAACTATTAGTGTCCTTCCTATCTCAGGTAGGAAAAACTAAAATCCTGTAGGGTCAGGATTTTACTTCATGTCTTCTACTGTGGAGTAAGATATGGAACATCTTCAGCATTTACTTTATTTTCCAGGCCCACCATGTTCTGCCTTCCAGTACAGTGGAGTTCTGGGGAAGCGTGTACTGGGAAGTTTATGCATACCTTGATATTGTTGGAATCTGTGAGAAACATGGTGACTCGATCGATACCCATGCCCCAGCCGGCTGTTGGAGGCAGCCCATACTCCAGGGCAGTGCAGAAGTTCTCATCTATGAACATGGCTTCATCGTCACCAGCAGCCTTGGCCTAGAATAAATTAGGTCAAATGTAATAATCTAGTCTAGTGGTTCTCCACCTTCACAATGCTGCCACCCTTTAATATAGTTCCTCATATTGTGGTGACCCCCAACACAATTATTTTCCTTGCAACTTCATAACTGTAACTTTGCTACTGTTATGAATTGTAATGTAAGTTTCCGATATGCGATCCCCAAAGGGGTCACAACCCACAGGTTGAGAGCTGCTGTTCTAGGTCATCTTAGCATTCACAAAAACACATCAAAACTTTCAAAAGAGGTGCCAAAGATGCTCCTGACATTTAAGACTTGCTGGGAATTTGAATGTGACTTCCTCCTACAAAGCCTCTTTCTTTATGGGCTAGAGAATTGGCTCAGTTGTTAGAAGATGCTCTTCCAGAGGACCCAGGTTTGATTCCCAGCTCCCATACAGTGGCTCACAATTATCTGTAACTCCAGTTCCAGGGGATCCAACTCCCTTTTCTGCCCTCCTTGAGCACTGTGTGCACGTGGTATACTGATACACATGCTGACAAAACACCCATATACATAAGACAAAATAAAAAAAATTTAGCCGGGCAGTGGCGCACTCCTTAATCCCAGCACTCAGGAGGCAGATGCAGGTGGATCTCTGAGTTTGAGGTCAGCCTTGTCTACAGAGCTAGTTCCAGGACAGCCAAGGCTACACAGAGAAACCCTGTCTCAAAAAAACAAACAAACCATGAACAAAAAAACCCAAAAAATTGAAAAAGCCTCTTTGGCTTTGGTTGAGACACTGAGAAAGTGGACATCAACAGAGGGTTAAGGTCAGTACTTCCTGGTGAGTGAGCTCAGTGATGAAACCGATGTCACTGCTCACCCTCCTTCCTTACCTTGGCCTGTTCTTCAAACAGCTGTCGCTGCCGCATGGGATCATTCAGCTCAGTGTAGGCATTGCAGATTTCCTTCTTCATGACAAACAGCTCAAAGCGCTCAGTTAGACCCTCTTTGGAGCGGTGCCTGGGAACATGACCGCAGAGGATGAATATTCAGGGCTCTGGTAATAACCTGATGCAAAAATTGAACCCTGAAACCTCACCAAGGCTCAGCACCAATCACTGGCACCAGAGTGAAGGTGAGAGAGACCAGAAGATTTGATTATATTGCCAACAAACAGTGGAGTTGACTGAATCCATGCCCTTCTGCTTCGCTCTCATACTCTAGGCTGCTCACTTGCTTTGGTCAAGGAGCTATCAGCAAAGGTCTAGCATGTTTGCTTGTTGAGGCTTGTTCTTTTGGAATGCCTGCCTTGGGAACCCAACCACCATGCAGACAAAAGCCAGACTACTGCCAGAGAAATCGGTGAAGAGGCCCTAGAATTCCCACCCTAGTTACTGTATCAAGGCGTGGTGCAGAAAGACCACTAAGCCAACGCAGAGCATCCAAACAATCTCTCACTTCACACCATTCACTTCTGTTTTTGTTTGTGAAAAGCAGCACTGAAGACTGAACCTAGGGTCGTGTTAGCTAAATGTTCTACTCACAGGTACAGCCCTGGCAGCCCCAGCCCTACCTCGGGGGTTTTTATGCAGCAACAAACCGTATCTCA